TATATATATATATAATAACATGAGGATCATAGATTTAATTGCTAGCAAGCGGAAGTGGAAACTAACAAAACAAACACGTCCAAAAGGAAGTCACCTGTGCTTCATCCGGGAAACCCGCCCCCCACCCCGGGGCACCAGGTGCACCCGCTACCTCATCGGAGGCTCAGGCAGGAGGACAGGCAGTGAGCCCTTAACTGTGAGCATCAGTGCACGCTTTGTATTTTTCTCTGCATCGGGCTTTAATTTAGAAGGTCAGTGGTTTCCTTACACAAAACCTCAACTCTAGTCACTTCTGCGTAACTAAGAAAAAGGTTGTTTTAGGGAGGAAATTCTGGAAACCAAACAGCTGACTTTATCTTCTGCCAGCAGAAAAACAGAGGGAATAACTTAAAAAGAATTTTCAAAATGAAGTGAAATAATCAAAGGAAGCTTATTTACTTACTCTTAATAAAACATGGTTTGCTACTCTGGTAAGAAGCACACACAGAAAATAAAGCCCTGAGAGGTGTACCCCGAGCGCCCGGGAGGGCGCGGTCCACTTGGTGCTGCAGCTCCCTCACTTCGCAAGGAGCCGCTGGGCCACAGAGACGCAGGGGATCGAGAAGAACATAAACTTGGGAACTGAACCAAGTTGCGCTCAAATCCCTGCTTCCCCAAATATTTGAATGTGGCCGATTGCTTCTTTCAAACTGCCAACATGTATAAATGTTCTGAGCTTCAGGGTCACACGCAAGCCTGCCGAGTCTGCGGAATCTGTGTGCATGAGCCTCTCAGCCCATAACTGCCTCTCAGATGATGTTGGAATTATTTTTAAGGTTTACTTAGGGCCCCTCCTGGTGGTGCAGTGGGTTAAAGCGCAGTACTAGGAAGCTTTCTGCAGCCACTGCAACGCGAGTTGGATCCCAGCCAGGGAGCTGACCCACAGGGCTCAGTAAACTTCTCCTATCTGGCCTGCTGCTCCCCTCAGCAGTAGTTGCAATGAATCTGCCTGTTCTGCTCCCCACTCTCTCTCTGGTGAAACCGCTCATCCCCCACCTTTGGCCTGTACCTCAGTTCTTGTATGCATAATAAATAAATCTTAAAAAAATAAAAAAATATGTATTTTATTTATACATACAAGAATTGGGGTGTAGCCCAGAGGTACGGGAGTGGTGCTAAGAAGACTCCCCAGAAACAGAGTGGGAGCGTAACAGGTGGATCCACTGAAATCCACTGTGAGGGGAGCAGCACGGAGCCAGGAGAAGTCTGCTGTGGCCGGTGGGTCACTCCCTGGCAGGGTTGGGGGCCTCCTTGATGCATTTGTTGGCTGCCACCGCTCACCACACTTAATAGCCATTTGCTGACTGAATGAGTGAATGCTCGACCTTTAAACTTCCTATTATTCATCTCAAAAGATATTTTTAAGATGTCATCCTCAATTTCACAAGTTGTACTTGCAACAATCTGTATGTGAGAAAAGTTTCTTTTCCTGGGTTATTGCCAAGGAACTTTCCTAAGATGGAAAAGCCCGTGTCCAGGCCTGAGAGTGTTACACTTTACCCTGGTTTAGGATCTATCAAGTTCCCTTGACCTGTGTCAAGCGACCACTGCTCTGTTTTCTAACTTTTTTTTTGAGATGTATTTATTTATGCACACAGAACTGGGGCACAGGCCAGAGGTGCAGGGGTAGTGAGAGGCTTCCCCAGAGACAGAGTGGGGAGCAGGACAGGCCAGCTGACAAAGTCCACTGCTGAGGGGAGCAGCGGGTAGTGTCAGGAGGGGTCTGCCGCGCCATGTGGGTCACTTCCGGGGCAGGCGGGGATCGAACTCATGCAGAAGTGGTGTTAGCTTCTCGGTGCTGTGCTGTAACCCGCTGCGCCACCAGGGAGGGCTGACTTCTACAAATTTTTATATAATTTCATATACACTGTGTTCACTATTTCCTGTGAGTAGAGGAAGGGTATTGATAGTGATTCTGAGTGGTCTCACCCTTCACCAGCCTGAGTCCTCTGGTGGTAGAACATCAACTGTCTGGACCAGTAGAGTGCCAGAGGAGGGTGTTTGCTTGCCTAGGTAGAAATTAGGTGATGTTATAATTTTGAAGTATGTTGAAGAAGTAAATTAAAAAGAAAGGTTGATTGATGACATTCCAAAAAAAAAAAAATGTCATGAATTTTAAGCCAGAAATGACCCCAGACACGTATGGCTTCTCTGATCTTCTATATCCAGAAATGGATAGAAGTCAGTTCCAAAAAGGGCTTTTGGTCATTATATTTTCTTTTTATCTTTCCTTATTCATCACTGACAGATCCATCTTATTTATGGCTTAGGAATTTTGGAGTTTAGAAATAACTGCATCATTAGGCTCAAAATTATTTTATACATTTGAGATTAAGAATAATCTGTGAGGCTTTTTCTGGGCTGATGAGTCACCAGGATAAAAGGTCTTATGGATAAATGTAAAGTGCATACAACACACAGAAGAAAAGATGTATTTTAGTGTAAGAAAAATATAAACCTATCAGTGGAAGAGTCTAGGTAACACAGAGTCAGTGATGTTATAGGAACATTTGTTGGGCTCGCAATGCAAAGGTAGGAACTTGGTTTAGTTTTTCTTCTTTACAAAATGCAAAACTGATTTCTAGATGGGTTCTGCAATTTAATTAAAAATATAAAACCATGGGGCAACTAAATCTATTGTATTGATTTTTTCATCTTCCCAGATATAGTCCTTAAGAGACGCTAGCACGATGCCATTCATGACTAATGAAGGCAGGAAACACAACAGAGCCAGAATACCTGGAGAACTCAGAAATGGGATCTCGTCCAAGATGTGAGACCCTCGGGTGGAGACGGGCCAACCCCACAGGAGCTTCTCAGGATGCCACTGCCCGATGAAGCTGCTGAGATGGCCACATGGTGATTCTGGAAGAGGAGACCCAGGCTTGACAAGGGTGACTCTTCCATGACAGGTAGCCCTTGCGTTTCAAATTTTTACATGCTACCACTTCACCTTCATGACGGCTTACTCTGGCACCTGTGTTCCCCAAACAGGAAGTCTCAAGAGAATTTTCACCAGTAAGGCAAAGGGGGGCGGTGGGAGGCATCCTGGGCATTCCCACAGCTGCTCGACGGGGCTGGGGATCCATCAGAGCCCTGTTCTACGCTTTGTGAGGGTGAATGTGAGTGACGGTGTTATTCGGTATGCACTGATAGCTTCAGTTTAGGGTCTGGGAAAACTCAACAATTTTTCACATACGTAGGGTTTACATATTAGAAGGACAGGTGTATTAGAAAACATACAGAGGCACCAGGTGGGCATTCTGGCGGGAGGGTTGCTGATGAGCTTAGTGACAGAAATGCACAGTCACAGGCAGGGAGCAGCCACTTTTCACGTAGATGAACCTTAGCTGCTTCTTCCCTTAACTTCAGAGCAGCTCCTGGAAGATTTCACTGCACGCCCTGTTTTAGAAAGTGGGAACCTGCATTGCAAAGTAATTTCCTTTCACTTTGGAAAGAGGGGAGTTGAGATCCACAGCCTTTCTGCGTGTTCTGCATCCCAGGGACACAGAAGTCCTGGTTACTTATTTGTTGTTGTCGAAATTTAAGGTGCTTCTTCTGGTTGGAGATTTCCGAAATAGGAACCTGTTTGATACCAGATTCCAGCTCCAGAGGGCTTTGGAATACCAAAATCCATAACACCTATAGAGCTCCTTGACAGTCTCTTCCAGTTGATTGTTTTATGATTACTTCTTATTGAAATTCACATGAAAGTTTTTCTGTATTATTCCTATCAAATTAGTTAGACTTACAACATATAAAATTATGTTTATCTCTGAAAGGATTAGATTAGTTATTTGTTTTTTTTTTGTTGTTGACTTACAACATATAAAAGTAAACATATGAAAAGGTAAACATATGAAAGGTAAAGTATAAGTAGATGTCAGCCTAGAAACATGATTTATTCTACCTGTCTTTATCATGGTTCTTTGTAATAGTACTTTATAATTAAACTACACTGGAAAATCACATTAGCAATTCAGAGATTATGTCTTTTAAAGTATTTTCTTATTCTTTTCCCTTCATTTGAGTAATTTAGCTTAGTTGATGTTTTTATGCCTTATACAATATTTTATGTTTAAATAAAGAGATATTTGGGGTTGTGAGATCCAGTTTGTAAATTAGAAACTCTTACAAAAAACTTCTGTGTTTATTTCTTTGCTCTTAAATCTTATCTACAGATGAAGAAAATGGTCAGGTAGAAGTCTTATTTTTTGAGTTTTATTTCAGCTTTAATAATTATGAATCAAGTGACTAAAAAAAAATACAGGCCCTGACATCAAAGAATATCTTTCAAGTAGGGTTCCGCTGTCCAATTGCTGATGGAAACACGGTCACTAATGATTTTTAATTGGGTTCAGGTATAGTTGTGAACTTTCTGCTGGTAACTGAGAAGAATGTATTTTATTTCAGTGAATTATAGGTGGCAGTATACACAGCTAAATTCCATATTTTATTGCAGGTGTATAGAAGGTATTTCAATTGCTTAACAATCTCATATGTGAGCTTATTGTTATTCTACCCCCTGGGCCTCTCCCTGTGCCTAGTTAATATGAGGACGTCTAATAAATTACTTCAGCTAATAGAGTTCTTGGGCATTATTTGCAATCTCGGGTTCATTCCAAAAGTTAGTCAAGAAAATATTTTAATGCTAATAAATAAAAGTTCTAGAAGAAAGTATAAAACAATCAGTGAAAGTAAAGTTAATACTAAGATCAGAATTTTAAAGCTGAAAGTATCTGTAGCATCCATAGCAAGCCAGAGACAGAATTTCGTTTTTTGTCTCTTTATTTTCATTCGATTTTAAAAGTTACGAGCAAATGTGCTTTGATTGTTAAGTTGTGAAAATGCAATACTTTCTTCATTTACTCTTCTGTGGTGTGATATGTATCCTTGTGAATGTTAAGTACACCATTGCTATTATTTTTGGCCAGTATTCACTCTGAATGTGATATTCATTAGAATGATAATAAAATCTATCTGATGTAGAGAAACAGGATAAATTGATGATGGAAAACCAGATGGAATTTCTCCTGGGGAGAAAGAGCCTCAGGCACCCAGTCCCCCATTCATACCATCCCTCCCAGGGGCTTCCACAGAGGCATGCAGAAGATTCCAGAAGGTGGGTGGGAAACTAGTGGGTGAGGAGGCAGGACAGGGAGGGAAGACATGACAACCCTCCAGGCAGGGGGTAAGCTGTGCCCAGCAGAGTTTTCCTGCATTTTGCTTTACATATGGACCTTTTCTGAAATACATTCCCTTTCCCTTTTAAATTAAAAGGCAATTAAATAATAATAATACAGTTATTTAGTTCAGATTCCCAAAATGTGGAGAAGGAACTCCAGAAGGCATGAGATTCTGAGGCCTGAAGGCCAGTCAGTGGTCACCCCTGGGGGCCAGCCTGGAGAAGGCCAGGATGCTGCCCCGGGAGCCCTTGGGTGTACCCATGAGGCCCCTACCTGCTTGCCTGCCGGGTCCCCTCACCCACACCCTAACCATTTGTCTGTCTTAAGTGGCTTCTTACCAATGCTCCTCTGAAAGCTGGCAGATTGTTCTGGGATCATCAGGCTGATGTATACGCGTTATTAATTCTAATTTGAAATAAGCAAACCTAAAGGAATCCATCTAGAAACTGTTCTCCAGACTTGTTTTTGGTCTGGCCTTTGTTCAAGGTCAATCAGATAAATTCTCAGACTTGAATGTTTCATAAGCGCCTTCTAGTGAATTTTTTTTTATTTATTTTTTGATACAGACTTCTCCAGCATTTAGAAGTCTGAAAACCCCTAAGCAATGGGAGTTTAAAATAGATGTATGCCAACAGAAACCCAAGGAGACATTTGCATTTTAACAATGAAATGAAGCCCTGAAAAGCTGTTAAGAGACCAACCAGAGTCTGGGGTTTGGGCTGGAGAAATACAGCAGGTGCCAGTTTTTATCCTCCCTGTTTGAATGATCACACCCTGAAGAGCTGCCAAGTCAGACATCACACTCGCGTCCTTTTCAGCTAAAACATGTAGCAGGTTCTAGGGGTGCATCGGTGAGAAAAAGAGATGGATGTTCCTGCTTTCAAGTGTGTGCTGTGTGTGTGTAGAAAGAACAAGTGACTATGTTAAATGATCTGTACAGAGGAGAAAAGCACAATGACAAGTAAGACCTGTAAAACAGGTCAAAGTGATCTCTCTCTCTCTCTCTTTTTTTTTTTAAAGATTTATTTATTTGTGCATACAGAACTGGGGTACAGGCCACAGGCTCAGGGACGGTGAGAGGCCTCACCAGAGACAGAGCGGGGAGCAGAACAGGCAGATGGACGAAGTCCACTGCTGAGGGGAGCAGCGGGCGGGCCAGGAGAGGTCTGCGCGCCCTGGGGTCACCTCCCGGGCAGGCGGGGATCGAACCCTGGAGAAGCGGCTTTGGCTTCGGCCGCGGCGCCCCCAGGGAGGGCCCCAAAGTGATCTCTTAACTCTGAATTAACACGCTGTTTTTCCTGCTGACATTTGTGAGCCTTTTGCAACTGAGCCATGAAGTGGACCTTGGTCAGCGGTGGTGGCTGTTTGGCCACCGCCAGCGAAAACAGACGAAGTTGGCGGCGGGGCCACGCCGCCTGCGGGAGCCGCTTGGCAGCAGATCGCGCACGAGCGCTGCCCGGAGCCTTCGCCGCCAGGCGCTTTGCCCCAGACGCCCGAGGCCGAGCCCTGAAGCGCGAGTGAAACGCGAGGAGGCTTCCGGCAAGGCGACGGGCCAGAGCCCCTTTCCATCTGGGGTGCAGAAGCCTGATAGGGCGTGTGGGGGGTGATGAAGCGTGTGCGGAGGTGACCGTGGGGGGTGCGGGGGCGTTCTTCGCAGGCCGCTTACAGCCATCCGGTCTGGGGGAAACCTGTCTGCCGTGGGAGCCGCCAAGCTCTAGAAACTAGCAAACGGGAAGCCGCACGCGGGGCAGCTGGTTCCCACCAACCGGAAAGTTCCACGTGCAAACTGGCGCCCGGATCCTGGTCTCGGGCCACCGGTGCCCCGCTCGCACAGCCTGGGGGGCTGGTCTGGAAGGAGCCCGGCTGGGGGGGCTGGTCTGGAAGGAGCCCGGCTGGGG